CGATCCACTCTTTACATATACACGTGCACGTATTCCCGTGTATCCACCGGAAAAAAATTGTAGCTTGACGACGTAGGCAAATCACAACATCTGCCACCAAGCTTCTGCAGGTGTCGACAACACCCTCACCAGCTCAAGCACTAAGTCACTCTTAGACAGTTTCACGTCAGAATCTCCAAGTCGAATTGACACACCAGCTGCTATGCACAGCTTGCGCAGCTCTTCAATGCTCTTTCCATTAAGCTGTGACTGTAACCTCTGCTGACCTCCAGTCTCGCATTCCATCCGCAGATTTTGCAGAGCCCGCTGCAGCGGAAGGCGACCACTGGAGGAAGAAGACGAAGCCATGGCTATAAAAAGCTACACAAGATTTCGAAGGTCCAACATGATTTCATACGGTTGAATTGGTTGCGCTGGCGGGATTCGAACAACTTCCGGTCTCGTGCCAACGCAACTGATCTATGTATAAAGTCGATGGTACCTACGTAAGATACGTTTGTTTCATGAGCTCCATTGATCGCACGGTTGAATTGGCTGTGCTGGCGAGATTCGCACAACTCGCGGTCTCGCGCCAACGCCACTGATCTATGTATAAAGATACGTTTGGTTCATGAACCCTACCGACCACACGGATCGGATTCTGCCGACCGTCGATCGAGAATAAGCGAGTCCACTTGCCTTCGAGCCATACGACACAAAGGTCAATGATGCTGATCATGTTAAAAGCTGTCACCGTCATGATGATGCCAACAAAGGAAAAAATTCAAGCAGCTGTAACAACAAATCTGATGCTGATCATGCTAAAGCCGTCACCGTCATGCCGACGCAAACGACGGAATGAATCCAATCAGCTACAATAACACATCGAGTCAGCTGGGTCTATTTCAAGCCAAGTATACAAATACAACACAACCTGAAACACATGTAACTCTCATGCCGTGAAAGAAAATATGACATGACATCAAATATGAAAATATGATGTGCCATGAGATGATGATCTCACGATACGCACGTGATATGCTATTGTGATCATGAGCTAACGATGAGGTCGATGACGATTGCAATGACGTAGCTGCTGGTAATGATGATGATGATGATGATGATGGTGCTGACGACGATGATGATGATAATGATGATGATGATGATGTGGATGATAAGGATGATGATGATGATGATGATGCTGCTGATGATGATGATGAAGGTGATGATGATGATGATGATGATGATAATGATGATGATGGTGCATGTCGCCAGGCACGGTTTACACCACACGTTGTTTACGCCAGACGAAGTAACCATGGAAAAGTTTACACCAGACAAAGCCGACAAAGGTTTACACCAGAGAAGAGTTTACACCAGACATCGATTACACCAGACACCGTCTATACACCAGACACGGTTTACACCAGACGTCGTTTACACCAGACAAGGCCAACAAAGGTTTACACCAGAAAGAGTTTACAGCAGAGACAGTTTACACCAGACAGCGTTTACACCGGACATCGTTTACACCAGACAAAAAGGTCTTACGGCAGACGAGGTTTACACCAGACAAAACCGACAAAGGTTTACACCAGAAAGAGTTTACAGCAGAGACAGTTTACACCAGACAGCGTTTACACCAGACACCGTATACACCAGACGTCGTTTACACCAGACAAAGCCAACAAAGGTTTACACCAGAAAAAGTTTACACCATAGACAGTTTACACCAGACAGCGTTTACACCAGACACCGTTTACACCAGACATGGTTTACACCAGACATGGTGGAAACCATTGCAGCAGCAATTATAAGGCGATTAGCAACAAAAGATTGCAAAACACCACGTAACTACGCACTGAACGATGACACAGGAACACCTTCGAGCCAGAACTATAAGGCGAATAGCAACCAAAGCGTGTAAAACACCATGTAACTACGCACCGAACGATGACACAGGAACACCTTCGAGCCAGAACTATAAGGCGATTAGCAACCAAAGATTGCAAAACACCATGTAACTGCGCACCGCAAGCACAGAGAATAGCCTCCCAAAACCGGATCTCGACGTCCAAGCTCAAAAAATTGCGATTTCGAAGCGTTTTTTAAAAGAGATTTATAAGAAAAATGAAAGCGGCAAAACTTGGAAAAAAGTACGTTGGAAACCATTGCAGTAGCAATTATAAGGCGATTAGCAACCAAAGCTTGCAAAACACCACGTAACTGCTTAGACACTCCAACGACGCGCTTTGGACACCATTTTCGACAGAAGGAATCATTTCTTAGTTAACGACGTCGCTCGTAGAAACGACGCTGTTGGAGCTACAATACGCATCATTACGCAGTTTTACGCAGCAATTTCGCAAGTCATACGCATCATTTTTCGCAAAGGACATCATACGGCTTGCTTTGTAGAAACGGCGTCCAAAGCACATCATTGGAGCGTCTAGGTGCGCACCAAACGATGACACAGGAACACCTTCGAGCCAGAACTATAAGGCGATTAGCAACCAAAGCTTGCAAAACACAATGTAACTACGCTCCGAGCGATGACACAGGAACACCTTCGAGCCAGAATTACAATGGGGGAACGCTCCGG